GGGGGTTGTTGTGGCGAGGCACTCGAGTAAGTTGGGCGAGTATGGCAAGGGAGAGGGGGAGGCTCTTGTCTGCTTGTCTATCGCACGTTTTGACGGTTTTGACAGGCCACACAGACGAAGACGAAGAATATTGCCCAGGCCCAGAAACCAAGCAACTCCACACTCATCAAAAATGTAGTTATAGCCATTCATTCATGTTGCAAAAGTAGGACTTTAGTGGCATGTCGCATACAAAGGAAGGGATATATACATAGACCATGTTCGTTCGTAAATATGTTCCCGTCTATGTGTTAGTGTGAGTGTGTGTGTGTGTCAGGGTGATTTCTGCTTTCTGGTGGCTGATGATTGTAGATACTAGAACGATGCCTTTTACTAACAGGTATTGTAGGCTCCCCTCTGTTTTCTAATTTATTTGTTTCGCAGTTCCACTCTACGCGTTCGATTTTTCGCCCAGCTCTAATCGTAACTATACAATTTGAAATTTCAAGCCCAAATTTGATAAGAAACGCCTAAAGCAAAACATTTTCAGCACGTTTGCACCCATCTAATCAGCTTATGGAATTCTCGCTTGTAACTACAAACATAGGAAAAGAGAGAAAAGAAAAAAACCAAAAACATTTTAACGAAATGCCCATATTTATTCATTTCTAAGAACTTGGAACACACAAGCAATAAAGTATAAACATAGCTTTTATCTGCCAAAGATATGTTAGGCACCGATCTGTCTAGATGAAGACCTAACAACTGCCAGTTTTTGGTCTAATTAAAAAGAGTGACATTTTTGAGGATAAAATTGAAAACAGAGAAATTTGTTTGCACATCAAATCCTTAACAGCCATGGCATTTCACTCTAATCCTGGCAGCTGTTTCGATATGTCATGTCATTTCCTAATTGCTCCAATTGGAAGCCCTATTTTTAACTGCAGCGGCAATTAGCCCCCCGCAAAAACACCTGCTCCAAAGCTCGCTCAATTTATATTTATTTGTATTAAGTTGCAGCTCGTGTGTGGTTTGTGTGCGGCCCATTGTCAGGGCACTTGATACCCTGCATTTAGTGTGTCAATATGCATATAGACGGCCAACTCTTGACTTGCATGCATTGTTGTCGTATAAATATTCTATGGGGCATGGTGAGTGTCCCTTTTGTTGTCTGTACTTTGCACGTTGTCGCACTCGACTCTGCCGCCTGTGGGAGGTCTGAAAGGCAAATAATCAAATGGGGAAACAGGCTTCCGTTTTAGGCCTGTTAGTTTTGTGTATAGCGTGTGTGTATGTGTTTTGTAATACGCTTATATTTTTAGCTTTACACACACACACACACACACACACACAGTCGCACATGTGAGCATAATTACAATGCGGCTTACGCACAATTTATGGCGCCCGCTCTCCCGTTTACAGTATGGGGGTTTCCCCTGCCAGTGGCAACGCCAGCAAAGTGCAACATAGGCAGCTTTGGGCATAGCAGAATAAATAAACTTGGTCACTTGCAATCCGAGTTCTGTTGGAGACTGGCGACTCACTCACCCCTTCAGCTGTGGGAACTAACGGTAACGGTAGCACACACGCACATGTGTCTGGCTGCGTCATGTGTGCGTGAGTAAATGGCTTTTTGCTTTGTCTTAATCAATAATACCGTTGTTTAACATTATAGCTTGTAGGTTAAGCAAAACATTTAACCTCAAAGGTCATTAACTGTTTTCTAATAGCCTTTTGTATTAGGTTTACAACTCAACTTACACAATTGCTGTTTGATGCGACTTTTGTTTGGCTTAGCACAGGTTTTGGTTTGGTTCTAGTTAATGAAAGCCACGATCTTTGCTTAATCTTAACATATTTTGCACGTTTCTGTACATTTCTTGATGTTGTTTTTCTATTTGCACAACACCCTACAAACAAACACACGCACAAGCGAGCATACACACGCCGTAGCAGAAGAAGGCGCGCCTTTCGTCCTTTACGTTTTCACGTAACTTTTGCAACTGCGCCGCCAATGTACATAATAATTAGACTTCAACCAGACAGCTGGGCAGCAGCCGCAGTAGGCAAGAGCGACGGAGAGAGAGAAAGAGAGAGAGTGAGTCTAAGAGCGGGATGCGAGCGAGAGCGGGCAAAGATGCCACTCATTAAGCCGCGCCAGTGTACCCAGATTTTTATGTTCAATAACATTAATGAGCAGATTTTATGCTTAGGTCACCGTTGCGCCTAAAAGATGCTTTAACATTATTGAAGTATTCATGCAGCATGTCTATAACTGTGCAATTTGTTTGGAACTTGAGGCGCATGCGCTGCTCGCGCTCTTTGAAAGTTATAGATGACAGACAGACAGACAGAGAGAGAGCGAGAGAGCGATAGGGCCACGCTGAGAATGAGCAATCAAATAAACAAGCGACGCCGCGGCTGAGACGTCGACAGCTGTCGGTGACTGCGCGCCTTATCAATACAAGGCATAGGGCGGTTTTTTTTTGCGCCACCCCATTTGATGTTGAACATGTTGGTTTGTGTACTAGCTAAATGTTCGCTCTCGAAATTACATTCGAATTTCAAGTAGAGCTATTCCAAGCTGAGCCCTTTTTCTTTATAGTTATTCCCAAAAAAGTGTAATATTCGAATATATAATTTGTTGAATTTATTATAAAATTTTGCTGTTAATTACTATTCCATTAAGATACTTAATTTGAAAGGCCTTCACGTTGATCGTTTTGTATATTGAGTTAAATTCACATCACTTATACTAGACTGCGAAGAGCAGGTTTACGCAAATTTTCAATTGAATACTCTTGACTTAGCTAAGACTTAGGTATAGTACAAATATAAGATATACATACACACACATAACACACTGTTTGTTTTCCCTTTAAAGTTCAAATATGTTCCTCTTTAAAAATAGACGTCTATAATATAATCTTAGTTGCAATTGTCTTTAGCTTAGACTATTTATATCTATTGTGGCTATAGCTTAGCCAGAGCTAAAGGTCTCGTAAACATTCGCGCCCAACATTTTCGATTTTTCGGATACCACATAGAAGCTAAGCAACTGGGTGGGCAGATTGTGTGGCCGCGCAGAGCTGTCGTAGCCGTGCGATGTAAGTCCACTGATAATGGGTATTAGTTTGGCCAGCGCGACTAGCACTCTATTAACGTCCAGCAGATTGTTGTTGTTGCTCTGTTTGCTCTGGCCATTAATGGGCTGCTGCTGCTGCAGCTCACCGGGCGCCAAATGTTGCAGTGTGTCACCCATGGACTCCGCAATGGCATCACAACTGAGCACAAAGCCGCGACTCACGTTATGCGCACACACGCCAACGCAATCCTCACTCTCGAGCAGATCAAGCGTCTCGTTGTACATCTGCTGCAGCAGCGGGGAGCAATTGAATCTCTCCTGCAGGCGGGTTAGATCTGGCAGCAGGTACTTACTCATCTTGGAGTTGGGATCGTTTCGTGTGTCGCCATTGATGGACATTTGCAGTGACCAGAATATCTGCTCCGTATCGGCCAAAGTCAGTTGACGCGTCAGCGGCATTGACTTGAGCACTTCCACCACTTGACTGCGTATAAATCGCGCCAGATCCCTGATGCCATCGTGCGTGATGAAGTGGCGTATCAGGGACAAGTATTGCTGTTTTAGTTCGTCGGTTATTTGCCGCTGTTCCGTCATAATATCCCGATAGATGTAGCCACCCAGCAGGTTGAGCTGGACACGCAGCGCAATGACCAGCATCGAGGAGGCATACACAAAGGTAGCCAGCCGCGTGAATGATACAATTTTCATTTGCTCCCACAGCTCCAGTTTGTTGGTAGGGTTCTGGCGCAGCTGCTCGAGCAGCTCGTCCGTGCTGCACTCGTGTAACACCGCCTGGCACATTTCCTCGCCCATGCCCAGTATCACCTGATTGCAGGTACGTTCCGTCGACTCGAAATGGTGCATACGTCGCGAACGTTCGAAGAACTCGCGCGCCTGCCGCTCCTGATACTCCACGAGCTTGCGCTGCGCATAACGTGCCGCATAGATGGTGCCTCCCACCAGAACCCCAGTTACAACGAATTTACGTCGATGGCGTGTCAGAAAATCTTGCAGGCGCGACAACATGATGAGCTCCTGTCCTCCACACTAGTAAAACCTTTAAAGTTTAATCGGGGCGCTTCTTGGGAATCGCGACAGGTGCCGTTGCCTCCCCTCTGCCTCTGCGTTCAGCCTATATAACCGCCCCTGCAATATGAATACTTAATGTACAAAGTTCAAATATTTTAGTGTGAGTCGACCACGTCGGTGACTTTGGTCAGAACAGATTAGATTAGCCTAACACCGACGAAATACTCACAAATTCTTTGCGTAAAATGTTTGATGACAACTATGCCGTGTTTGTTCTGCTTTTATTTTCCAGTGCGGCCCGGCCCCAAGTGTCAAGAAATTTTTTATTGATTTCGGCTTGGAACTTTGAATACGTCGGCCCTTTTCCTGGTCGTGTTTATGCACGGCTTGCGCGTGCGGAATGTGTTGTAAATGTGGGTTTATATTAAGTGTCTCTCTCTTTAGGCCAGCATTGTTGGTTTTGTCCTTCGCTTTTACTAAACTTTCAGTTTAATATTTGTTGAGCACTAAAACACTTGTCTGGGTTTCTTTGTGCATTTGCGCCCAAGCAGGGCTGGCATGCGCTTGTTTGGACAGGGTTGTTTTGGTACCGCGAGACAGTGAGCACAAGATTGTACAGCACTGCTCTGTGTCAGCTGTGTTTACGAACACTAACTACACAAGGGAATTAATGAGTTCCAGCGAGTTATTTGTAATTAAATGCCTACCTATGTAAATGAAGCGTTTGCTTCAGTTTATTTGCTTGAGTTCATTTGATTATTTTGATGACCGTCGTATGCTATCACCGTACTGTGCCTAATTTGCTATTTTCAAACACTGGTTACCAAGAAAGTTAGCTGAGGAAGGGTAGACGGGCAAGCACACATACATGTGCATGCATAAGTATGCGCAATACCCTCTGCTGTAGTGGGCGGCAGTGTTTACAATGTCGTCGACGGAGCGTAAACTAATTGTGGTCACTGGATTTGGTCCGTTCGTGGGCCATGAAGAGGTCAACGCCAGCTGGGAGGCTGTGCAACTGCTGCCCGAGCTGCTTAGCTACGAGGGCACCGACTACCAGCTGGAGAAAATAATGGTGCCAGTGGAATATGCGGCCGTAGATGAGGCAGTAACAGAAATTTGGCAGCGGCAGCCAGAGGCAAGCATTTATATATTCGATTTAATTGAGCGCCGCTGACATCATTCCCCCACATTCGTCGCAGCTGGTCGTGCATGTAGGTGTCTCTGGCGTGGCCAAATGCGTTTATGTGGAGAAACTCGCCTATAATCATCAGTTTCGACGACCCGATAATGCGGGCCAATATCTCAGCAAAAGCACTTGCTGCCTGCCTTACAATGGAAACGCAAATGTTCTGCGCTGCGGCCTGAACGTTGATAAGATTGTGGAGGCTGTAAACTTAACCTGTGATGAGTGTGTGGCCCCGGCGCGAACAGTCAACAATAAGGCTCTGGAGGCCACGAAGGCGTCCAAAAATGCTGGCGGCTTCCTCTGCGGCTATATCTATTTAAAATCCTTAGACGTGGATTCCAAGCGGACCTTGTTCGTACATGTTCCGCCCATTGACAAGCCTTTCAGCTCTGCGCAAACATCAGAGATTCTTTCCAAAATAATTATGCAATGTGTAGAGCAATTAGCTGCCTGTGGATCCCAGTGAAAGTATTCGATTAGTGTATTTTTTGTCAGTGTACTATTTGTATGAACAGTTGCAAGCTTATAAAAAACCTTTATTGTTATGAGGAATTTTTGAATTCTATAGTATATGCATGGCAATACTCTTCAGCTCCTTTTGTTATTTTATATAAACAGATAACGTACTAGATAATACGTTTTTATTACATTAGTCTATTTTTGTTTAATTTCTACGTGCCGACAGGTTTATTGTACATGCATTGTTTTGTAGTATTGTTGCTTAAATCGAGAGGAACAGTGCGTTTTATGTCGATACAGCCGCAACGATTTCCGTATTTATAGAAAAAAAAGGAACAATTAATTCAAATATCGCAGCTTTTCTTCGCCATTGTTAACAGTTCAGCGCAATGTTAAGCCAACAACATAACATAAAATATATATGAACTAAATGAGTCACAGTCGTTCTTTTAGTTCAGTGATTCGTGTAATCGAACTTATTCCGAACAACTCGATACATATTTGGAGCCAATGTTCTGTCGCTTGGACGTAGACGATTTCATTTGGAATTTGGCTTGCAACTTGTACGGTAGACATTTTTTGTCTTTAGAGTTGCGCTAGTGTGTGTCTGTGTGATAGACTTCTACCTACAAATAGGCATTTATATATACTAAATATTAAGTGCCCGCGATGAAATTCCTAATCTGTGCACTACTCGCGGCGTCCTACGTGGCGGCCGCTGATATTAAACTGGAGGAGGGTGTCATCGTAGCGACGGTGGACAATTTCAAACAAGTGATTGCTGACAACGAATTTGTGCTCGTCGAGTTCTGTGAGTATTCATTTGCAACATAATTTACATAAATAAAATGTGCCGTACCGGCCGCTAAACCGCTGCCGCTTCATGGTGATTCATGAAAATCGCCAAGGGGCTACGTGGTCTTTTGTGAGCAAGCCCCCAGCGTGATGCTCCGAAACAAGATATGTCTGCGTGGCAGTTTAGCCACCAGTCGGATTGTTGTTGCTAGTTGGCAAGCTTCCTTTGGCTTGTGAAGGCGGGAAGAGAACAGAAGTTTTAGTTGTGAGAGAAAATTCATTTGTATATATATTTTTTTTGTTTTCACATTTAATCGTTTATCGCATATCGATGATTTTGCGGATATTGGCTTGCGCTCTGCCCTCTCCTTGCCTATCTTTCATTACTTTTGTCGTTACTCTCTCCTTGCATACGACCATCCCTCTTGCACGCAATGTGCCAGCACCTGTGCGCAAGCGAGCCGACAGCTGTGCTGGCATTTGTTGCGCGTAAGTTTTTAAATGTTAAAGTGCTAAGCAAAAGTTGCGCGTCATCATAATCAGTGAAGATTATTCTTCGGCACATTTCCCAACAGGGTCAGCGCGGTTGGTGTTTGCCAGCTGAAGCTGACGCTGCGTTCCTGCTCTTATCTTTGGCTTCTTGGGTCCGCGCGGCGTCCTCAAACCGAGATAAGGTCGGAACAGTTTCTATTTCCATATGTCTCAGTTTTATCAACACGGCAATGCAACTCTGTTGCGTTGTTCCGGGCGTGGCTATATTCCGCCTACTCGCTGCTTAGTTTCTTACATCCGCTTCATCAATATGGTTTTAGAATAGAAAAAAGTTGTCAGGCAACTGTCGCTTGAAACTGGGTTAGCTAAACAACTTTTCGCCGCTATTCCGTCAAGAATCTCTGTCTCTTTTGCGCTGCTTTCTATTCTGCCTTGCCCTTTTTAACACCGTACGCCGCTGCTTAATGCGATCGCGCCTGCGCAGCGGCAGAAGTTCATTCAACTCTTTATTTTGTATTCGCTCTCTGTTTCTGTTGCTTTTATTGTTGTTGCGCTTTGAGCGCGTGCTAAACAGTACAATGCATCAATATGGCGGCGGCCCTGTCTGCGGTTTGTTTATGCCAGCAGTTCATGTGTGTGTGTTTACGCTACGTTTCAAAAACGCACAAATCTGGCAACGTCAGCAGATCCAATACTTGACCACGAACAGATAATGCCTCCCTGATTCACCTTGCAAATCTTATCTGTGCAACTTTTACGCTCATTTGACCATTTACCAAGGCCACGTCAGCTTAAGCCGCAGATAAGAGAGTGTAAGACGTTGTCAACTCGCATTATGTCATTGTCTTTCTATATTTATCTCTCTCCCTCTCTCTCTCTCTCTGTGTTCCGCCATATGCGTATAAAATTGCAGCTCTTCACAACTCAACACGTGGAATTTGCATAATATGCAACAGCTGCTGTTCCATGTTAAATCTGGCGTGAAAAATACCCCACCACGCCCGCCCAACACCCACACATTTGCGACAATTCGATTTTCCATGCGAACGCTTCGCTTAAGCGAGATTGATATATGTATCTGAAGTACTCTACATATCTACATAAATATTTGCTATTTATAATAGATTTATTAATTGCTTGAGCTTACATTGAAAAACTGAAATTTAACGGTCTGTTTAGTTTCAGAGTGCATCGTAATAGTTAAACTAGACACGCTCTAAACTATTTATCAACAATTTTCAATTTATTTTTACTTGAATAAATGTGTGAAATATTTACTTATTTTGTAATATTTGTTTAATTTTTGTTGCAGATGCACCCTGGTGTGGTCATTGCAAGGCACTGGCGCCCGAGTATGCCAAGGCCGCCCAACAGCTGGCAGAGAAGGAGTCGCCCATTAAGCTGGCCAAGGTCGATGCCACCGTTGAGGGTGAGCTGGCCGAGCAGTACCAAGTGCGTGGCTATCCCACGCTGAAGTTCTTCCGCAGTGGCTCGCCCGTGGAGTACAATGGTGGACGTCAGGCCGCTGACATTATTGCCTGGGTGACCAAGAAGACTGGCCCACCAGCCAAGGATTTGACCAGCGTTGCCGAAGCCGAGCAGTTCCTGAAGGACAATGAAATTGCCATCATTGGCTTCTTCAAGGATGTGGAGTCGGCGGAGGCCAAGATCTTCACTAAGGCCGCCAACGCATTGGACTCGTTTGTCTTTGGTATCAGCAGCAATGCCGATGTGATTGCCAAATACGAATCCAAGGACAATGGTGTCGTGCTGTTCAAGCCATTCGATGAGAAGAAATCGGTGTTCGAGGGCGAGCTGAGTGAGGAGAGCCTTAAGAAATTCGCTCAGGTGCAATCCCTGCCATTGATTGTGGACTTCAACCATGAGTCGGCATCCAAAATCTTCGGCGGCTCCATCAAATCGCATCTGTTGTTCTTCGTGTCCAAGGAGGCTGGCCACATTGAGGCCCATGTTGATCCATTGAAGGAGATTGCCAAGAAATACCGCGAGGACATTCTGTTTGTTACCATCTCATCTGATGAGGAGGATCATACTCGCATCTTTGAGTTCTTCGGCATGAACAAAGAGGAGGTGCCCACTATTCGCTTGATCAAGCTGGAGGAGGATATGGCCAAGTACAAGCCCGAATCAGCCGATCTGACACCCGAGTCGATTGAGGCATTCCTCAAGAAGTTCCTCGACGGTAAACTGAAGCAGCATCTGCTGTCACAGGAGCTGCCTGAAGATTGGGACAAACAGCCCGTCAAGGTGCTCGTCTCGAGCAATTTCGAGAGCGTTGCCTTGGACAAGAGCAAGTCTGTGCTGGTTGAGTTCTATGCACCATGGTGCGGTCACTGCAAGCAGCTGGCCCCCATCTACGATCAGCTGGCTGAGAAATACAAGGATAATGCCGACATTGTCATTGCCAAGATGGACTCCACTGCCAATGAGCTGGAGAACATCAAGATCTCATCCTTCCCAACTATCAAATACTTCCGTAAGGACGACAACAAGGTCATCGACTACAACCTGGACAGGACCTTAGATGACTTTGTCAAGTTCCTCGATGCCAACGGCGAGGTTGCCGATGCCGAGCCCGCTGAGGAGAGCGAGGAGGAGGAAGAAGCGGCGCCCAAGAAGGACGAGTTGTAAACCAACAACAACACAATTAATCCAAGAAAAATAACAACAGCAACAACACACACAACCACACAGCAACAACAAATAGCAACGTACATTCTGTAGTTTATTCTTGTCTTCGGTCGTGGATCCAATTCCAATGAGTTTTTGTCATTGCCCCCAGTCCTGGCCGTGGCACAATTTAAGTCCCAACTTGTTTGCCTAATAAATAACTTAATTTAGTTGTGATTTGCAACAACAAATATTTACGCAATTTCACATGGTAGCGCGATGCATTTGGCAGCGCCTTCGCCGCGTTTCAGTTTTTGATATGCGTAGTTTAGAATTCAGTTTTATTGAAGCGGTAACCGAGAAATCAAATTGATAAATTTTTAATGTGTAATCTTCTAAGTTTTCTATTTTGAATTTGTAGAAGCATTGAGAAAGAACTGATTAAGGACTTAATAAATAAAGTTGGCAACAACATTAAAAACAAATGAATTCATGCTATCGCGTATTTTGAAATGAATGTAATATTTAAGACTCAAGGTTTATTGATATGTGTAATAGATATTCGTAAATATTTAGGCGAGTTTTAAACAAATATTCATATATATTTTTTATTTTTATCCATTTGAATAATGTATTAGATATAATGATTGAATTTTTAGTCAATTGGAATACCCGCCTTTATATTTGTATTTCGCGGTTTTGTGTTTGCACTTTCCAACACTGTAACATCAGAACTATGTGGCGTATTTGGTATTTTTATATGTTCGTACTGCGGCCACACTTTACACGAATTTAAGGCCAAGTGTGACCGATTAAATGCATTTTAGTGTGTATTTTAGCAGTCAACATTCTAAAACTGAAATGGTCAAAAACAAACAAGTGCCAATTCACAAACAGAAAGTAATGTAAAAAATGTGCAAAATACAACAAATTCATTGTGAATTCGTATCTGGACTGTGTGCACCAGCGACATTTGTAGTGTAGCGTGTACTGCGAGCGCGCCGCTGCTTCATTACAGTTAACATTTTTGCGGTAGGTGTGTGTGTGTGTGTCTATGTGCAGGTATATACATATGCATGTAGGGCCAGCCAATGCTAACGGGACTTTCTCTTCAAAAAAGTCAAAATTTTGTTGATTTGCAACCTTCTCTTGCATTGCAGAATGATGAGCAACACACGAAACAATTGCATGAATGTTGATGAAAACGTCTCTGTCGCAGCCAATCCCGGCGGCGGCGCGACACCGTCGACCGTGATGCCGG